GTGAGACATCTAGCCTTTATATAGATATCTATGGCTCTAACATGCAGATAAAGATGTTTTGAAGACAATAAACATGATTTCAATGATTTTGTTCTTCAAGCCATGCCAGGTATTTTCATAATAATAGATTATATTTATAATGTAATGCTAATCGATATAGATTTTTTCATTGTGCACAATACAATAAATAATATATTTTCTGTCTGATTTTTTATCTGAAGCCAAATTAGATCACAGAAGATTATTCAAAACACTCGACTTGCGTTCTAAAGTAAATTTGGAGCTCAAACATGGTTTTAATCTCAAAAATTGTCGTGTATTGATGGTGTGCTAAGCTAACATGCTAGCAGGTGCACCAGAAGTTATTCCTTTATGATTTTTTTTTTCTAAATAGGAATGCTTACTGAAATTTTTCAGTGCATTTGATAGTTTCAAATGTGAAGCACATTGATAAAAGAAATCACGGTTTGAAACCCTATGAACAGCCTGTGAATAGCAATCGTTAGTAGCTATAATGCAGACAAAGAAAATGCATATTTATAGCCATATAACCAGTCTGTAAAGGTGTGAATGTGTGCATAGGGAGACTGAGACTTGATGGGGCTCGTTTGCACCACAAAACAAAAAAGACAATAGACTGAATAGACGACTTAGAAGATGACTAAACATCAGTTTGCATTTTAGAGTCTAATCAAAATAAAGTAATTTGACATGATCTTGAAAAACATGTACGGAGTTTTAGACTTATCATTTTCAGATTTTAAATATAAAATGGTCACACACAGTATGGCTTTAGCTGCAGTGCATTTCTAGATTGCTACAGGGCCAACGTATATTTAATTTTCATGAAGATCATGTTTCATAAAAATACATTTCTAATAACTTTACAAAACTTCGAAGCTATTTAAAAAAATGTTTTTCATTATGGCAATAATTAATTCAACATTTACTATAAACAACCAAATGAGATCATACTTGTGCTTTTAGTGCAAAGGGTTCATGAATTGTATCTTTTTCAGTTGAGGTATGTCATTTCTGGGGATTTTTCAAAAGGACCAACGCCTTAAAAACGGATCATTTCAGAGTGAGGGTTAAAAATAATAATTTTCCTCACATATATTTATTTTTGTGCAAAAAAACCTTACAAGTTAATCTCAAGCAACATATTCAAATAATAAAAAAATATCCATGTCATGACCCCTTTAAAAGATGGCATGTGGAAGCTGGGCCCCATTCACTCTCCTGTCCTTTATCTGTCACACACAGCCGGGTGGCATGAGCTAAATATAGACCCACACCCTTCCCTCTCTCTCTCCCGGTCTCTGCAGTGCGTGCCGCCCCATGTGTCTGGTCCATCTGCTCCAGCAGGCTGAGCGAGAAGCTCCAGTGAGAGAGACGCAGTGCCACACCCAGATCCACAGCACCACACACACCGTGAGCCTGGGACTCCACTCACAAACAATCATCCGTTCATTCATTCATTGCCCATTTCAGTCCTATATCTGACTCTTGGTGAAACTATGGGCCATATCTCCTGCCATACGCGAGAGACTGTTCGTGAAACCCTCCCAATGAATCTCAATGGCTTGGACACACACACACACACGCATTCACACCTACAATTTAGCGTCTCTAATTCACCTATACTGCATGTTTTTGGATTGTGTGGGAAACCAGAGCACTCGTAGACACACAGGGAGAACATGCAAACTCAGCCGGGACTCGAACCAGTGTGCCACGGGGTTCAGGCCATGATAGGCCGTGCCCCTGATTAGTTGCTATTAAACTTTAAACTGGATGAGTCCTTTAAGTTAGTGCTTGACACCTCCGACATAAATGCTGTAACAACCTATTTTTCGATACGATATCATGTGGAAAAAAATGTAAAAGGGAACTTGTCCAATAGACCTGGCCACAATATCTATTTTTTTCTATGAAATTACAAATAAAAATGTCCTACTTAAGAGTGTTTTTGACCCACTTAAAATTGCATTTAATATAAATGTACAATATAATACAATTGTATTTCATTGAAAGTAAAATTGAAGTGTTATTCTTTATTTTACTTATTTTAAAGTCAAAAAGGCTACTCCTTAAACGGGAAGTTGCGCTTGATTAAACTTTTTTGATTAACATGCACAGTTGAATATTGGAAAATATATGCTTTTACCACCGTAAAATCCACTATTTCTAATAGCTTATTTATTAACAGAATAATTAATAATTAAAAACTATTGCAAGACACCGACAAAAAAAAGTACATTATTATCCTAATTTAACTGTTGTGTGTCCATGTGACCTGGCGAAAATATCTATTTTTTCTTCCACATGTTCAAGAAATAGAGGTAATTATGAAATTGCAAATAAAAATGTCCTACTTAAGAGTGTTTTTGACCCACTTAAGTTTAGATAATTGCATTTAATATAAATGTACACTATAATACATTTGTATTTCATTGCAAGTAAAATTGAAGTTTTATTTTACTCATTTTAAAGTCTATTATTTTCATGACAAAAAGGCTACTCCTTAAAAGGGAAGTTGCGCTTGATGATACTTTTTTGATGCTTTTACCAGCGTAAAATCCACTATTTCTAATAGCTTATTTATTAACAGAATAATTAATAATTAAAAACTATTGCAAGACGCTGACAAGAAAAAAGTACATTATTATCCTAATTTAACTGTTGTGTGTCCATGTGGCTGTTTTACAACCCCTTTAAGCATCCTCTAATAATATCTAAGAGACAAAATTATCCATTTTATAAGCTCACTTTTTGATATCAAGAAACATTTATCTGTATAACCAAAAGTGGCTAGAATCCCAGAGCTCAATGCAACCCTCTCAATTATACGAACAAATCAATAGAGCCAGACCGATGTTATCGGCCGATATTAGGCATTTTCCATAATATCGGTATCGGCAGTTATAATGGCCGATAAATGAATATTTAAAAAATAAAATAAAAACAGACGAAACACGCTTTAATCGTCTCTCCTTGGCCTGTTATATTGAAAATGTATGCTTTACAATTTGCAGTATGATGTTATCTATTGCTAAATTATGGCTCATCATAAGCCATGTTTCCATCCACTTGTCAATCGAATTATCTGAAATTCGGTTAAAAAACTCATGCGGATAAAGCTGGTGAAAGTGTGTTTCCATCCAACGGCTTTAAAGCGAATAAAAACCTGTACGTAATGGCGTCACATGCTGTTTTGCGATCAAATTGGTATATCGAATTGATTTGAGACATTTTAAGGTGTTTCCATTTATTTTCACACTGAATCGAACAACATTCAAGCAAACTTTTGCGAACAAAGTTTTGTTAGACAAAACGTATCGCGCCATCTACCAAAAATGATCAATATTTCACAAGTTGAAGGCTAATAATGCTTATGTGCCAGCTGATTGCGACATATGGGATAATGTATGCGAGGCGGTTGTTGGTTGTATTCGCTATAACAACCGCCTCGCTATATATTATCCTGCTTATTAGCCTACATATAAATCAACCAAATAAATCAATAAATCAATAATTTGACACAAAATATTGACTTAAAAACGAGTTTATTGATTTAAAAACGAGTATTGCTTCTGCTAAAGAAAATAGTCTGTTCCCAGATAGCAAACTGACATTGAATCAACGTGGAAATATGACATTGAAACAACGTTGATCTGACATTGTTTTGCTCATCGAATTAACGTTGAACCGACGTCAGACGCGTCATTCTTTCAAAACTAACGGAAAATCAACTTGAAATCAACGCGTTGTTTCAACGTTATGAAAGCAAACCAATTTTCGATTTTCATTTAGCTTTGAAGAATGCCGCGTCTGACGTTGGTTCAACGTTAATTCGATGAGCAAAATCAACGTTGTTTCAATGTCATGAGAGACGTCGTTTCCACGTTGATTCAATGTCAGTTTGCTGTCTGGGTTCCGTCTCTGAACTGCGTCCATGGCAACGGTGTGTTATACTAGAAGCGCCGCAGTCTGTTAACTAGAAATAAAAGACCACATTCAACATTACAATTCAACCAAGCCACGTAAAAACAAGCAAAACTAACCTAAGAAAACAGCGACGCTATAAACATTGCTATGATGATGACGATGCACGTATGCCCGACGTCAGAGGTGACTGTGGTTTGGGAACGACAGCGCTCCATCAGTTCTGGGAGATCGTGGTTCACCGAAACCCTTTGGTTGAAGCATCTTTTTGCTTTGTCCACGTACATCTGTCTTTGTTGACATCCGCCATGTGTGCGCAAACAGACTGGCCGGAAATGAACTCGTCTTCTGACGTGTTGCAACCATAAAAGGGCATAAAACTTAATCGCAATTCATTATTTATTCGGCAAATAACGTTTCCATCAGCTTTTATCGCATTAGCCGTATATCGATCAAGAGAAAATCCGATGAGACCGAACGTATTTCATTTGAGTCGATTTTCATGAAATTTCATCGAATTTTACTGTTTCCATAAGGCATTTTTCATTCGATATCACTTAATTCGGATAAAAACGTGTCGATGGAAACATGGCTATCTAGCTAACCACAAAGCTAGCTAATGCCACTATCATCAGTGGAAGACCGCTAACGTTAACATTAATGAGCTTGGAAACCACAATGAACCTTTTCTGCCTAAATAAAGTAATGATTACTGTATTTATAACTAGCATATCTCTAGTTACAGTCCCTGTAAGTTATACTTGCGAGGAGTGAACATTTAGACATAGAGAAAAAGTATCAAACGTATCTTGTGCAGAAAAGTTAGCTTTTCTTTTCACACGTGTGTGAAATCCAACAATATTTAATAAAAACAAAATATCGGCCGATATATTGGAAATATTGGATTTTAAAACCCAAAAAATATTTGTATCGGTATCGGCCTTGAAAATACTTTATCGGTCTGGGTCTAGTACAGAAACTGCTGGTTCTTCTAAGACGGTGATGAAGAGTCATGTGCAACAAAGCCTTATGAGACAGGAAACATCTCTTACCCTTCAAAGGGTCCTGCTCCGCCCTCATGATGTCGATCAGGGAGCTCTCCAACGAATGCATGTTCAAGCTGTCATACATCCTGGACCGATCCTGAGGAACAGAGTTGAGGGATGTGTCAATATGTGCAATAGAGATGGAAGCAAGTAGTTATGGGATTACATGCACACAGTCAGGGGCAAACAGGCTCCCTCAAACGCAGGGAATAGAGCATGTTTGTGTAGGCCGGTCACCCTGAATCCCGGGAATACTGCGGCAGACCGGATTCTGGGACACAGGATTCCGGCCTTCTGGAATGCTGTTTGTAGAGCTGTCACGGGTGGAATTAACCAGGCCCGTTTGTTAGCTTTAGTGTATTCTGGACTGAAAGTTCAGCCAAACTGGTCTCGTGTGTGTCGCTTGTTTTTTGATATTCGGCTGCTTCACGAGAATATCCTTCTTCCCTTTGGTTAGGGGCATCCCATCTCCCTATCACAACACCTGCCTAACAACATGCCACAGATATCTGTGTCATTACCACAATGAGACCAAGATGGAATGTGAACATAAACACAGTTATATCCGCCACTGGACCTGTGTGTGCACACACTGCAGGAAACACATTCACGACGGACACAAACACAGCACACATGCAAGAGCAAGTCCAGGCTTGTGGAAAAGAAGTACTTAGTTGATGTGAATATGCACACGTATGTCTATTTTTGTATGTGTACTGACAGATAACATTAATAGTCCACTTACAGATGGTACACTTTCATATAGGGATGCACAATATATCGGCCACCATATCGGGAGCGGCTGATATATGTTCAAATTGGTGTTATCGTTATCGACTTGAAGAAAATTTGGTCGATATATTAAAGCCGCATCATACTAATTCGTTTCGATGTTTAAGTTAAATCGTGGCCACATCGTAATGTGTTTTGTTGTTTAAGTTAAACCATGGCAGTATTGTACTAATTCGTTTCGATGTTTAAGTTAAATCGTGGCAGTATCGTACTAATTTGTTTCGATGTTTAAGTTAAATCGTGGCAGTATCGTACTAATTTGTTTCGATGTTTAAGTTAAACCGTGGCAGTATCGTACTAATTCGTTTCGATGTTTAAGTTAAATCGTGGCCACATCGTAATAATTCGTAATAATTTGTTTCGTTGTTTAAGTTAAACCATGGCAGTATCATACTAATTCGTTTCGATGTTTAAGTTAAATCGTGGCCACATCGTAATAATTCGTAATAATTTGTTTCGTTGTTTAAGTTAAACCGTGGCAGTATCATACTAATTGGTTTCGATGTTTAAGTTAAATCATGGCAGTATCGTCCTAATTCGTTTTCAAGGTTTAAATTAAATTGTGGCCACATCGTAATAATTTGTTTCGATGATTAAGTTAAACCGTGGCAGTATCGTACTAATTTGTTTTGTTGTTTAAGTTAAACCGTGGCATTATCGTACTAATTTGTTTTGTTGTTTAAGTTAAACCATGGCATTATCGTACTAATTTGTTTTGTTGTTTAAGTTAAACCATGGCATTATCGTACTAATTTGTTTTGTTGTTTAAGTTAAACCGTGGCATTATCGTACAAATTTGTTTCGATGTTTAAGTTAAACCATGGCAGTATTGTACAATATGTTTTGTTACGTTAAATCGTGGTCACATCGTAATAATTTGTTTCGATGATTAAGTTAAATTGTGGCCACATCGTACTAATTTGTTTCTATGTTTAAGTTAAATCATGGCATTATCGTACTAATTTGTTTCGTTGTTTAAGTTAAACCGTGGCAGTATCGTACTAATTTGTTTCGATGTTTAAATTAAACCGTGGCAGTATTTTACTAATTCGTTTCAATGTTTAAGTTAAACCGTGGCAGTAACGCACTAATTTGTTTCATTGTTTAAGTTAAACCACGGCAGTATCGTAATAATTCGTTTCGATGTTTAAATTAAACCGTGGCAGTATTTTACTAATTCGTTTCGATGTTTAAGTTAAATCGTGGCCACATCGTAATAATTCGTTTCGATGTTTATGTTTAATTAAATTCATGGCCATATTGTACTAATTCGTTTTGTTAAGTTAATTTGTGGCCACATTGTTCTACTTTGTGGCCTGAATTGAAATGATTGAACTAAATTGAAGTGACCAAATTTAAAACGAGGGAAAAAATTAATAGAGCTGCCCACACTATCTATTATTTCTTCCACGTCATGTATGAGGCTCTGTCGTAAATATATAAACATACCCTGACTGACACATGAATGTATGATGGACATTGTTCGGAAAGCACACAGGGAGGGAGCAAGTGCTGACCGCGTCAAGCGCAGATGCTTCCAATTGGATATATCACGGCCATCTGCCTCCCACAGGTAGAGCAGGTTTTCTACCAGTCCTGTGCTGTTTTCTGTCCCCAGTCCTATTCGCAGGCCCTCGCGCCGGAGCTTACAGACAGCCCGAGGCTGGAGGGGGCTAAATATAGTTTCAGCAACATCGCCAGAAATAGTGTCTGAAAAGCAGCTCAGTTCTCCAGTGAAGAACACAAGGCCTGAAGACTCATGCTCATCTGAGACTGTGGGTTATTATGCTACCTTTCAATATCATTCAAATGACAAAAAAAAAAATATGTATTTTTATAACCTCTTTTTTCTGCCTACAACTACCGTTGTAGTCGAGACCAGCTCATTCGAGTGTGATTGAAGACTGAGACATTCTCAGTTTATGACAAGACCGATGCTGCGTTCACACCATGACGTAATTACAAGATGATGTGACGTGTAGAATTACAACATGTGGCATTCTGCTCCTGGGAATTAAGCATTTCTATGGCAACAATGAATCTGCCAAGTTCTACGAGAACGCTTTTAACAATTATGGTAATTACGACCTGACGTTAGCGCGCCTCGAGTCCAAGACCATATTACACGTGGATTCAGACTCCACCCTATCTTGATTGAAACATATTTCCGTCATTAACATTTCAAATTTTAACATTCGAAGTTAAAAGTTCAAAGAAAATCGGATGAAATCTTTGTAGCCGCATTTATCTCAGTCCTTTCCTCCTCCCTTCTTTTTTTATCTTTTTTGTTTCTCTTTTCAGCACATGACGCACTTGATCTCTGGAACGCAGAGCGAACATGGAAGGAGGAGAGAGGAGAGGCTCGTCGGGGAATGCGAGGAATCCCAAACGGCACCCTGTTTATGGAAATGAGCAATACCGTAGATGCTACTAGAGCCGGACCTGTTTCCTGAGAGAGATGAAGGCCAGACCACACTCCGGTTCACATCTCAGGTTCCTCATTTCAGTTCGGTTTAGCTTTAACGGAATTAGCTGCGACGTGCCAAACACTGATCTGGTCCGAAATAAAATACAAAACTAAAGATGAGTTGTTCTGTGCCAGACCATAACAACCGCTCTTAATGACGGAAAGGCATGTTAAATATGTCACAACTAAACTGGCTTGATTCAATAGCACATCTACACAGGGCCTGAATAAGATAAGCCAACTCTAGAGAGTAAGGATGGCATACCAGCAGTCATGTGATACTAAAATAAAAAGTAACAACAGCAGTTTGTATCAGCAGAGGTTTAACTGACCATGTGCATGACCCGCTGTTTCAGCTCATCAACAAAACAATGGGGCAACATGAGTGACAAAACGGCCTCTCACACACTCAGTGTCTCACTTTTAGCTAGGGGTTTAACGATACCCTCATGCCACGATTCGATACATATCACGATACGATATTATTGCGATACTCCAAGACATATAGTGAAAGGTTAACAAAAAATTTACTATTGATTAAAATGCTAAATTTGATATTACATTGAGGGTTTATGAAAAGGCTTGGACATGGTGCTTGTTACCCAAGGAAAATGGTGACACCAGAATAACAATATACATGATTCTGAAGCTGAAAATACAGGATTATTTTAGAGGAATATTCTTGCAGTATATTTTTAAAATAATGTCAGGCACTTTTACTGGAAACATCAGACGTTTGACTTTATCAGGACCCACGAATATTCCCATATTGCATTATTATACATTATAATCAACATTATATATAGTAGTTTAATGTAGTAGTACACTAAAACTCTGAAAACTATTTTGGCGGGACTATCCACGATACGTATTGTTGCATTTTTGTATTGCGATATATTGTGGCTCGATAAATTGTTACACCTCTACTTTTAGCGACTCTCACTAAAATAAGCAATAAGCATTAAGCAGGGCTGGACAACATATTGAATATTTACTATAAGTTTGCAATCATTTTCCTGGTTTTATAAAAGGTGAATATTACAAAATCGCACGCTTTTTTATCATCAGCTATTTTTAATTCAATTTAATTAAAATTTCTGTTTGTTTTTTTCATATATTGGTTGTTTCAATTAATTGATTCATTCGATTTTATGTAAAAAAAACAATGTAAAAAAACAAAAAACATTCCTAAATGATTTCGCTTTGTGCATTAAACTTTCTAAATCTACATTGCTACAGTAGTTTGGTTGAAATAATGGTTCCTCCTATACATGTGTGTTTTTGAAAGAAGTCTCTTATGCCTACTACAGACTGAGTGATCTAAGTTTTAGCGCATCATTCAGTGTGTGTAACGAACATCATGGTCACCAAGGCTGTATTTATTTGATCAAATACACACACACACATACACACACATATATATAAAAGCTATTTCAGAACAAATATATACCTGCCAGCCCCAGTGGTACGACACCTTAGAAAGACAATCTCATAAATAAAGGTCAATGGCCATTCAAACATGTGATTGCACTTGAGAGGGGGATGGGTGGTGATGGCGCAGTGGATAAGACACATGCCTTTGGTGTGAGAGACCCAGGTTCGAATCCACTGTGAGACACCAATGTGTCCCTGAGCAAGACACTTAACCCCTAGTTGCTCCAGAGGCGTGCGACCAGTGTTGTAGTCGAGACCACCTCACTCGAGTCCGAGTCGACACCGAGACCATAGAGAGTCGAGTCCGAGTCAAGACCGAGTCCATAGAGAGTTGAGTCCGAGTCGAGTCCGAGACCAGAGACGGTCGAGTCCGAGTCGAGACCGAGACCAGTGAGGGTTGATTTCCTAATTTACTTTTGTTTACTTAGAGAAATCCTTTTTTTTTTTTTTTTTTTTTTTTTTACTGAATTTACTTAGAGTTTAAAAAATATGATCAGTTTAGGGTAAAAAGGCCACATAGTAGGTGGTGTTGTCATGCGCAGTTGCGCACTAGAAAATCACCAATGGGCGTGTCAATCAATTTAAAGAAATATTTTATTAACATACATTTAATCATGAAAAATATTTTGAATTGAACTCGAGTGGACTCGGGAAAAAGTCCGAGTCCTAAAAAAAAAAATGTTCGAGTACGAGTCAATTCCGAGTCCAAATGCACACGAGTCCATGACAAGACCAAGACTATTAAAATATGGTCTCGAGACCGAGTCCGAGACGAGTCCGAGTCTCGAGTACTACAACACTGCGTGCGACCTCTGATAAAAGCGTCAGCTAAATGAATAAATGTAATGAGATTCATGAACATTTCATAGTCATAGTCATGTGTCCCATCTAACAGCAAACTGGAGATCAAATAGGTTGAATGAATTTTTCCCAAAGCACACAGACACAGATTTCCAGAACTGAGTTCTGCCACACAATGATGAAGGGAGAGGACAGGTTCCTTCATGATGAAACCAGCAAAACCTCGATGACCTCACCGTGAGTCATCATGGATCCTGCAGAAGGTCAACAGGCACGCACAGGGCGTACCGGGTGTACAGACACACGATGTCTGATGCTTATGTATATTGAGCAATAAATATAAAAGAACTGGCTCCCACCCCAGGCTTACACACACATACCTGCGGGGGCAGCAGCGCGTTGCTGTTGTTGTCGGTGCGGAACATATTCTCTTCCATCCAGGATTTGGGTCCCATGGCGGAGCGGGGGAACTTGGGCGGAGCGATGACGTTACTGGAGAAGGGTTTCTTCATGGGGGAGATCTGGCTGACGGAGCCTGGCACGCCCATGCCGCCTCCACGCCGATGGTCCCGCCCCCAGGACATCCCGCCGGAGTTCCAGCCGCCGCCCTGATGGGAGCCCCACGGGGACTGCTTCATCATGGGCTACGGACACACAGGAAGAGGAGTTAGGGACCAAACACAAACACTATGCAAACGCTAGACATGAAGTTCAAGTCCATTTTAAAGCAATCGGCGGCCATCTTGGGCATGCGTCACATCTATTGATAGTCATGCAAGTACAGATCCTCTCTAATTAAATAGGGAAATATCCAACGCTATCTCACGACCAATTCGTTCGAATTCGTACAAGTGATTCAAAAGTGGCTAATTCGTACAACCTCACTTGTACGAATTCGTACGATTTGTCTAAACCCACGTATGGGTAGGTATAGGGGCGGGGTCAGGGGTAGGTCATTCGTACGAATTCATACGAATTGATCAATTCGTAAAATATGTACGATTTAGCAAAAATTGTGAGTGAGGTCGTCCGAATTAGCCACCTCGTAAAATTCGTAAGAGTTCCTGTGAGATCGGGTTGGAAATATCTCAATTTTACAACATTACTCACTTTTCTAATGAGCAATACAATTAATTGTAATGTAAATGTTGTCCTCAAATAGCACAGAAAACTGTATATTTGATGTTGATATAGCCGGTGAGCATGTGGCGTTCGTGGCATTAGAGGAAGGAGACGTTCTCAATCTAAAAGGACAAACATATTGGGTATCCTTGCAAAAAGAAGTGTGCTTGAATGTGCACTTGCAGATAATGTAATATTAACATTCACTTTCACGACACACTGAATTACACTTTTAAAAAGTGCCTTTTAAAAGTACACTTATTTTGATGTGTTGACTGACATGTATAAAAGCGGTCACCATGATCTGGCCAAGTAAGACATGATCCTGGATCAACATTCTTGTCCCAAAATGTAGTTCTTACCCCTAAACCTAACCCTACCCATAGAGGGTAAGGAAAGGTGAATAACACTGACGTCTCAGTCCTTTACCCTGGTTCTAAGCCTAAACTTGACCCTCAAATCTGATTGGTTGATTGGAAAGTTGATGCAGGAACATTTGGTACTTGGTGAAATCACGTTCACCGCACTATAGTACTGAGTACATGACTATAATTTTGGTGTTATTTGATATTACATTTAGAGTTAATATATTTTAAATGTACTTAAACTGCATCTTCATTGTTACTAATGTGTAATTATTTCAATGCATGACATATACATTAAATCATATTTTAGTTTACCATACGTGATTATTAGTAAATTCCCCCTTGACACTGGAACCATATTTCAAACCCGAAATAATAACAAAATTACATTAAAAATGTAGTCAAGTCCAACTTGAGGGTAAAAAAGCACTTAGCTCCAATAGTTACATTTAATTTTTGACGTTTTTGCAATTAACATGGAAATAAGTGTCTGAAAACATTACATTCACTTCACAATTCGATATATTCTTTTACAGTGTATTATTTGCGCCCTAAGAACTCTTTTTAAAAGTGTGCTATACTTTTTCTCAAGGGATACGCCTGTGAGTACTAGAAGATGTCATCGATACTTTTGTACTGTTCTCCAAAAAGAGAAAGACTGGACATCTGTGTTGTATATATCTGTTAAAGGAGTAGCACTAGCACAGATGACCTCAAAGCAACAGAAATAGAGTGAAAGCTACAAATTTAACGCGTGTGTGGGAATCTGAATGAGAGTGACTGGTGTAATCACCCGTGTGTGTGTGTGTGTGTGTTACTTTGAGCATAACCAGGCTTTGCCTAGCTGTACATGTAAGAAGATTTAAAGCTTTACATCTAAGACTCCACATCTCGTGAAGAAAGTGGCGAGAACACACACTTGTCTTTATCCTAGAATATAATGTAAAAACGCACACCAAACAATGGCAAAAAGAAACAAATTGTCATTTTCAGCAGGTGTTGTCATGGCAAATCAGAGTCCCACCCATCTCCGTAATGTCTTTGTGTGTAATTGGGTAATGGCCTGAGTGTGCGTGTGTGTGTGTGTGGGTGTGCGAGACTGCGTGTACATACAATCTGGTTGAGCGTTTAAGGGATAGTGAGAGATAATTACCGCTGATGTGCGTCTAGACACTGGGAAGCTGTTGAGGCCTATGCAGCGAGAGTACACCACATCCCAGAGCCGGCGCTGGCAGTTTACACAGTAGAAATGAATCAGCCAGTAGAGCTGATGCGACGCTGCTAAACATCATTTAAACAAACAAAATATCAAATAATCAAAATGTGACGTGTCCTAAACAACGAGTTGTTTGGAGTTGCCAAGCAACATCTCCACTTGCCTCAATAACACAGGTCGCATTACAAGTGATTTGGAAGCATAACGTTCTAATAGTTTTAACATATTACTATGTTTTACTACAATAACCGCCAACTGCGACTCATGCCTGCAACAGACTGTGTGATTTCGGCCATCCAATAAGATCATTAAACTAAACGTGCATGTAGACTGTACGATGATGACACGTACAAGGCTACGACGCAAGTTAGTCTAGATGCAGACTGATCTCATGAAGTAGAGTATGTATGACACCAGTGTTGTAGTCGAGACCACCTCACTCGAGTCCGAGTCGAGACCGAGACCAGTGAGGGTTGATTACCTAATTTACTTTTATTTACTTAGAGAAATCCTTTTTTTTTTTTACTGAATTTACTTAGAGTTTAAAAAATATGATTAGTTTAGAGTAAAAAGGCCACATAGTAGGTGGTGTTAAAAGTAATTTTATTACAATTTGTCATGCGCAGTTGCGCACTAGAAAATCACCAATCACTGGGCGTGTCAATCAATTTAAAGAATTATTTTATTAACATACATTAATAATCATGAAAAATATTTTGAATTGAACTCGAGTGGACTCGGGAATAAGTCAGAGTCCTAAAAAAAAAAATGTTCGAGTACGAGTCAATTCCGAATCCAAATGCACACGAGTCCATGACAAGACCAAGACCATATGGTCTCGAGACCGAGTCCGAGACGAGTCCGAGTCTCGAGTACTACAACGCTGTATGACACACCAATTCGTATTTCCATTTTTGGCGTGCTATCAAGACGCATAATCGCTTTTCAGCGTGTTTATGAACGCCGTTGACTCAGGTTATATTTACACGGAAACGATTCTGAAGAGAAAACGCAAAAGTGCCGTTACGTTATCCCTTTTTATTCTGCGTTTAGACGAGCGTTTTGTGTGGGAAATCCGCGTGCAAACGGTGACGCAAAAGTGTGTGAAATTCAATGTAGTATGCACTTTAGGCGGCTAGGAGTGCATACTACAACAACACCAAGTCCACGCGCCTGCGTACAAACTTCACAGTCAAGCAGACTTTTGCGTTTTTACCGTTTACACGGTGGAGTGTTTTTAAGATTTCCACTCTGGAGGGTGGTTTGACTTTTTTGCGTTTTTAAGCCTCAAAAACGCCGTCGGCGTGTAAACGAAAGGCACATCCGATAAAATATTTTTACGTTTTCACCCGCGAGTGTTCTCGTGTAAACAGGGCCTTAAAGTTATTACTGTATATATAAATATATGACTTACCTCAACCCCATCCGTAAACCTAACCGTCACTGGGGTTAATAGCATTTATGAGTCTTCCCTTCCCATTCTAGGAAAAAAAGAGATCGCTCCCCAGATGTAGATCTACATGTTGCTTCGTTTTGCGTAGACATTTGACTCGGACGTTAATGCCGCAGACAAACACGCATACACGCGGATAGCTCAAAATGCGTAGAGATAAACACGCCACTTGACTCGAACGTGGCGTGTATGTTTACGCAAAAGTCATGATGTCATGTTGCTAGATGAATGAAATGTCATTAGTGGGAAAGTCATGATTTGGGAAAAGAGGCCGACTTGGGATGCTAATTTTGCAAATGGAGCTTGAGGAAAGTAGCTTTAAGTTTTAGTGCCGTGTCGCATTGATCGATACGCCATTTCATGTTGCAATTTTATTGGCTAGTCGGTAGACGTAGTTTGTAGCAGCAAACACACTGAGATTGACTGAGAGACACAGCTATTTAAGACCAGGCTCCTATCTAAGGTTTACACGAAGGGAAAATGCAGATATTTCCCTGCGGATTGGCCTCGCGTTTACACGAAAACCCTGTGTTTATCACAGAAAACGATTATTTCTAAAAACTGCGGCCAAAGTGGAGATTTCTGAAAACGCCGGTTATGTGTTGTCGCGTGAACTGGGAGAAACGGCGTTTTAGGTTCTCTCTCTTCTTGCGTCATCACTTTTTATTCTGCGTTTAGACGAGACGTTTTGTGTGGGAAATCCGCGTGCAAACGGTGACGCAAAAGTGTGTGAAATTCAATGTAGTGTGCACTTCAGGCGGCTAGGAGTGCATACTACAACAACACCAAGTCCACGCGCCTGCGTACAACCTTCACAGTCAAGCAGACTTTTGCGTTTTTACCTTTACACGGGAACGCGGCGGTGGAGCGTTTTTAAGATTTCCACTCTGGAGGGTGGTTTCACTTTTTTGCGTTTTTAAGCCTCAAAAACGCCGTCGCCGTGTAAACGTTTACACGAAAACCCTGTTTTTATCACAGAAAACGATTATTTCTAAAAACTGCGGCCAAAGTGGAGATTTCTGAAAACGCCGGTTACGTGTTGTCGTGTGAACTGGGAGAAACGGCGTTTTAGGTTCTCTCTTGTCGATTCTGATTGGCTTGCATGGCTTTATCTCCCTACACTGCCGCCCATAGGTTTGCATTGATATGATGGCGCTCGACGGGTGTGCGCACAATGTTATTATTGAAAACGGAGAGGGGGAAAATATTTGTTTCTCTAAATCCCCGGCCTTGTGCAAACGTGGCCTAAATGAATGGGCAGAGAGTCAGAACTGGTCACCGGGACATAAAAACAGCATGTATAGAAACAGCAGTAAAATATGATCAAAATCGCTGAAAGAGCCCCAAAATAAGGTTTAAAGGTCTTTTTCCCACAGATTATATGTTTACTACGCATGCACAATGGTTCTCGTCTCCGCTTTCGCAGACATCAACTGTGTGTGTCGGTGGAACCAGACTATAGGCTTACATGTTTCCCGGCTTGACTGTTAAAAGCAGACGATTGGCTTTCCAGCGGGAGGGGCGGGGCTTGTGCATACCACTGCCATCTTTGGCATTACAGGTTTTCCCCATATAGCTGTATTGAGGATTGAGGAAGTGGCATGTCTCTAT